ATATCTACCTAAGAACCATGGTTATTTGTAGGTATTATTAATCTTGCACCTTCATCCACTGATTATTCCTGATCATTCAGACCTATAATGTTGAAGTATTAATCCATGACACCTAAGCTGTTATGCTTCATAGACTGTGACAAATTTTAACAGAGGTGATTTGTTAGAGTCGGAATTTTTCTTGCAATTGAAGAAGGTATTTGAATGGTCATGGTTTTGGTATTTCGAGAGGAAGGAATTAATGTTCATTGGCAATGCATGTTATTGATTCTCTTCAGATGGTTTTTACAGAGGTCTGAATATTAATTTCTTAAAACTAATTTATGGAAATAAACAACATTCTTGCTTTCTTTTGTGTCAGCTGTGTCATCTATGCTTTTTTTCAGAAAGTACTGTAAAATGCCATTTGGAGCAATTAAGTGCTTTGTGTGTATTTTAAGATTAGTTTTCTTATCTGACAGTCAAGGTAGTTTTGACTCACTACAGAACACTGATCTTTCATTTTTAGACATCTTTCCTTCAGTACCCTTGGTGGAAGATGATCAGGTCAGGGAATACTTAAGTAAACTGGACATACCTAAGGCCCTGATGGAATGCACCCACTAGTGCTGAGGGAGCTGGCAGGTGGAGAAACAGGCTGGCAGGAACCTCTTGAAGTTCAACAAGGAGAAGTGCAAAGTCCCGCACCTGGGGAGGAACAACCCCCCATGCACCAGTGCAGGCTGGGGTCTGACCAGCTGGTAAGCAGCTTTGCAGAAAAGGCCCTGGGGGTCCTGGTGGACACCAAGTTGACCACGAACCAGCAATGTGCCCTTGCAGCAAAGAAGGCCAATGGTATCCTGAGCTGCATTAGGAAGAGTGTTGCTAACGGGTTGAGGGAGGTGATCCTTCTCCTCTGCTCAGCACCTTTGAGGCCACAGCTGGAGTGCTGGGTCCAGTTCTGGGCTCCCCACTGCAAGAGGGGCATGGACACACTGGAGAGAGTCCAGTGGGGAGGTGATCCTTCTCCTCTGCTCAGCACCTTTGAGGCCACAGCTGGAGTGCTGGGTCCAGTTCTGGGCTCCCCACTGCAAGAGGGGCATGGACACACTGGAGAGAGTCCAGTGGAGGGTCACAAAGATGATGAAGGGACTGGAGCATCTCTCCTGTGAGGAAAGGCTGAGAGAGCTGGGACTGCTCAGCCAGGAGAAGTGAAGGCTCAGGGGGGATCTTATCAATGTGCACCAATACCTGAAGGGAGGGTGGAAAGAGGACGGCGCCAGGCTCTTTTCAGTGGTGCCCAGTGACAGGACCAGAGGCAATGGGCACAACCTGAAGGTTCCCTCTGAACATCAGGAAATACTTTTTTTACTGTGACGTTGACTGAGCACTGGCACAGGTTTGGACTCTCCATCCTTGGAGATATTCAGAAGCTGTCTGGACATGGTCCTGGGCAGCTGGTTCTGGGTGGCCCTGCTTGAGCAGGGGGGGTTGGCCCAGATGACCTCCAGAGGTTCCTTCCAACCTCAACCATTCTGTGATTGCTGTGTCAAATGCTGGGAAAGAAAAACAATTAAATTTTGGCCTAGTTAAAAAATTCTTTATTACATCTTACGAATGTAGGTTACATGGGACTCTGTTAATTTAACTTATGCTTTCTTTATTCTGTTGTTACTTCTAATTCTGGCAGAATGAGTTGATGGAGATCTTATTCTGTTCCTGTCAGGTCTATCAAAAAAGTCGGTTAACTTGTTCTAAAAAATTGCCTTGCTGGCTTTATAATAGTACTGCTGGTTTTTATCCTGCTGACTTTAACTCCTTTCTCATTCATTAGGGCTCAAATTGTCAAATGCTGTAAATAATTTTTCTTTGCCTGCCCAACCTGACTTTATTGTTAGCTGAAAGAGTTTGTTTTGGTAAAGATGCCTTGAAGTGTTCTGTATGTTTCAAGTGCTCTTGGAATTTCAAAGGTGATGAAGCAGTTGTGAAAAAAAAAGCATCCCACTTAAAGCGTATAATCCCAATAGTTTTTGAAGTTAACACAGTAACTTACACATTTTAACGAGTTTGGTTCCCTTTGCCAGTCTGTGTACTTTTTTATGTGTACTTGTATTGGTTTTAGATGTGGCTGAATATATCACTTTACTATGCCAGTTTACAGCTTAAATAAACTTTAGTTCTGTGCATGAAGTAGAGTGCTTTCTTGCAGAGTCAGCTTAGGTATTAGCTTTTATAACAGTTACAGTTCAATGTCTTAAATCGAAGAGGACAATATACTTAACACTTAAGCTGTTTCATATAAAATGCTGTTGAATTTGTGTAATAATGCATGCTCATTTTTGTACAACTCTACAAGTTATCTGCCTTCTAATTATAAAAAATTTTATGTAATTCAATAAAATGATAATTTCTTATCCAATTTTAGGTAGAGGTGATATTCTATGACAGGCTCTGTGTGTACATTATGACAGCCTTACTAATTTTGAATGGAGCTTCTTAATAACCAAACCTGTCTGTTTCTCGGAAGTTCTTTATGTTTGCTCTGTACTACCAACAACTAAAAATACTGACAGTGGTCTCTCGCCTTTCCCAGGGGTACCACAGGCTGAGGAGGTTTGTCTAAGCTCTTCCTTCCCACTCTAGAAAGACATATTCACATCATCGTTTCCCTTACGTTTGACCATCCCAGACAGTAGAAGGATGACTTTTGGAGCTGAGGAACTGAAGGAGACCTGAATTTGAAGAGAAAATGACACCGTTGATCAAAAAGAATGCTGTACAGGTCCTACCTGTACAGTAATACATAGTATTTCGGTTTTACTGCAGTGTAACTGGCAAGCTAGGAAACTTGGCACTGTGTTTCAGCAGTGGAAACTGGCTTTGCAGAATCTGTGTCATCTCTTCCCGCCCACTAGTTGCTGTAGTCCGAGATGTGTAGTTGCCAGAGGCAACCCTGGCATTAATGTTGCAGTGGCTGCACTGTAAGGTTGCCGGAACAGAAATTCAGTACATAATGTTTTTGGAGATCTGTAGTATTTCTGAGTGATTAGGCAGGTGTCTGTCATTCCTTTCTAAGGCCCTTGTAAGTCAAAAAGACAGGAAAAATCTCGGCATGGATTGTCATTGCTCCATTCAAAACAGTTGGAATAACCTGGCACTCTCACAACTTGTATTCTAGGAAGATGCTGTAATTGGTGTCTTGAATTTACACTACTAAGTGGGTTGCTGAACTCCCTGTCCCCTTGAAAGTAGCTCTGACTCCCGGAGGTTGTTAGATTGAAATTACAGGTTTATAAAGCAATGATCTCTTGTCATAAGACATCATAGTTACATCAATATAGCTGGAGGATTTTATTAGTTAAATTACCACAGCTTCTGAAAACCCTCGTTGCAGATCCAGAAGTCCATTGTCTTAAGTTGTACAAATATAAGATAAAAGATAGTCTTAAGCAGTTTACAATGGAAGTATTGGGCAAACAACAGCAGATGAGTGCTCATGGTGGGTTCAGTTAGACATGAGCCTGTCTGAGGTTTAAGTACTCAGATAAAAACCAGCTTTGGTCTGGGTGTCATGCAAGCAGTGAGCACGATGCTCTTTTTGAGAGTATAATGCTATCCTAGTGTAGCTCTATGTTTTCTGAGGTGAAGTTGGCATGCATTTGTCCATCTTGGTGCACGTGCAGAATGTGTCCATCTTTGCCTGTTCTTTTCCTTGTTTAGATGTGGTCTGTGCAGTTTGGCCTAAAATGTTTCTCCTTCCTGGTTCTCCTTCTCCCCCCCCACTTCTCCTGCTTTTCTCAAGGAACCGTCATAATTTAGGCTTTTGCACTCAGGGTGTTAGTGCCAGCTTGTACTTTATTTCTCCACTCCCCCAAGGGTAGCGGTATTTATGTTTGTGTGAATGGGAACTCCAGAATCCTCTTACGCTGTTGCATGGCTTCTTTTTTGAAGGATATGTCATGCTAATTTAGATAGTGTGGCTCCTCTGACTCCTAATAGATGTTTTTTTCTGATTCACTGTCCTTGTGTCTGCTCTTGCCTGTCCATGCTCAGATCAGTTCTGTCTGTCGGTATGCCACTAAACTACCAAAATAGCTGGGTTCTGCAGGAACCGTGAAATTTAGTCGACTTTTCCTTTTGTGCACCAGTTTGTTACCAGCTATTTATTAAATCTGATGGTTGTGAGTCTCGAGAGGCTTTATACAGCTTTTTTTTCTTTAAAGCTTTTATAAAGCAGGTGAAAGGTAAAGCTGTCAGAAGGGTGCTCTAGACCTTGAAAAAGATTTCAGTCCACTCTGAAAGAAATGTCTGATACTAAAAAATGTCCCTGAGCTAAAGGCTGTTTTTTGGGAAGTATCCAGGAAATGCAAAGGAGGTCACTGCATTCATGTACCTGGGAAACAAAAGCAGATTTTTTTTTTTTTTAAACTTATCTGTGGTGTTAGAACTGACAGTAGATATCAGAGTAATTTGAAGAGTACTTTGAATCCTATCTCATTATTATGCCCTTTGAGAAGGCAGGCATGAGGGGACCTTTCATGTCTTAAAAGAAGCATAACTTTTTTTTTTAAGTTTAAAAAAAAATTTATCATCAGTTTATAAATTCACTGCTGCTTTGTCTTGAAAGAAGCTATTTTTGAACAGTATAGCTCCTTTTCGTGTTGACTGTGCCCTTCAAAATGAGCCTCTGAACTGAGCCTTTTTTCCTTTGAGCAGAATTTCTTTAGTAATAGTAGTTGAGAAGATTGAGAAGGAGAACTGCTCAGGTTGTCTAGAGTTGCAATTAAAAAAAAGCAACCCACACCTTTGAAAGCCAGATTCAAGGTGCTGTAAGCTGCTGGGCGCTGCAAAGGCAATGCCTAGGTGGCTATTAGTAAAACTCCCAGAATAAAATAAAACTCCTCAAAAATGTTTGTGTAGGTCAAAAAAATAAATGTTTGGTCTTTTCTGAGTGTTTCACCAGTCCTAGATTTAGAGGAGTTTTCAGCTGTCTGATTTTAGTTCAGCTTGTGGTATGGGCGATGGGAGTTATTTTTGGATCATACTCTGTAAGTAAATGCAACTGGATTCTGCAAGAGCCATCAAGGGGCAAGTGGCAGGAAACTTTGAAGAAGTTTTGTAAATCTTCCTCTTGGAGGCTGTGTCAAATTTGCTTGGATTGAGAGGATGACTATTTTGTCCACCGTATAAAGCCAGATTAGAAATGTAGTTTCAGACAAGTAATACCAGTTCCTATTTTCTCAAAAGAGTCTCATTGAATGTAAACCTAGCTCACGTGTATCTTCATCTACATCTCGGTATTCTGGTTCTCAGTAATTCCTGTTTTCGTCCTTTATTGATTTGTATCTTGGTGTTTTGTGTCAAAACTCTGTTTAGCACTCTCTCAAAATCAAGGATTTGAAATGAAAGAGAGCTGCAGAAACAAAGACATCGCTCAGATAGCAAGCCCCCTAGTGTAGTAGCATGTTTGATAGTGGCCAGTACCTTTTCCTTCAAAGTAGTGCAGACACCTCTGTGGAATAAGGTGTTCAGAAAAGAATTGACTCATGCAATTAGTGGTTTTGTTGTACCTTACCACTTGTTCATATCACGTATATTTTTCATCCAATTTAATCTAAAGTTTGCTTTCTTTGTGGTTTTTTAATGGAAAAGTAGTTGTCATGTTTTCAATACTGATGAAAATTGTTTTGTAGTAATTTAATGTGTAATTTTTAAAGAATGATAAAGAAGGTTCTTAAAAGTTAATGTACACATGAAATATTATTGAATAAATTTCATGCTCATATGAAATTCTGTTTTCTAAGTTACATTCTTTTAGTGCCTGTGCACTCTTGCTTTCAGATGACACAAGCATAAGGGAGATTAACAGAGCTCAGAAGACTGTGAACCTTACTTGCTTTTTGTGCTGTTACTGTATGGCATCACGTGGAGGTGACCTCTGTTGGAAGATGTGCTTTTGCAGCTTGACATTGAAATTATGCCTCTTGTCCAATCCAGTCTTGGAGGCAATTCCTATCTTGGTGGTTTAACATAAACACAATTTACAGAATACACTGCATTGAATACATGAATATGGCAACTACAGCTTCTTTTCTGTGGGTCAGTTAGAGTGTACGCATAGAGTATCATCTCTCTTGCCTATTTTGAGTTTAAAAGATGAGGTTGATGTCTGTTTCTGTGAAGCCTATAGGAGCTCAGAAGCACAACAGAAGTCTCAAGAGCAGTTAGTATGTTTCAGTATCACAGTGTTTTCTTTCTTTAAAGGTTTGAAAGAGTTCCAAAGTATGTGTTGTTTCTATTCCTAAAGAAAAATCCAGCAAAATTTACTTTTGCATATGACCTTCTAGGTATTTAAAACACTAAGAATGATCTGATAAAGTTAGCATATGTATATATGAACTTTTTGTGCCAGCAGCTTGAGTCTGTCATACTATTTAAGGGTTATTTGTTCATTGCTGTAATGTATATTATTATACCTAAGGTGATAGAGCGTGCTTTGCATGTAACAGTATATGTGCTTAACAGATGTATGATTTTTAGAAGTTTGTTGCCATCAAGTTATATTTTAAGAGTAATTTCTACTGTATAAACAGATTTCTTTTCCAGATATACATGCATATTTAAAAAAACCAACCCTCTCTTCAGGTCCCTTTACAGATGTAGTAACTACAAATCTTAAACTACGAAATCCATCAGATAGAAAAGTATGCTTCAAAGTGAAGACCACAGCGCCTCGTCGATACTGTGTGAGGCCGAACAGTGGAATTATTGACCCAGGATCGTCTGTAATTGTTTCAGGTAAAAACAAATTATGCAGTTATAGGTTAGCTGGTTTTAGGCCTTTCATGAAGTTCTCTAGTGCTTGACCTTAGAAGCTGTTTGAAGTATGTCAGCTTTTAAAAAATATTTTTTAAAATTAAAACTGTTCCCCTTCATTAATGCAATGTCAGCTTGACGTAGAGCTGCAATGATACATGAAAAATCCTCCATACAAAAATACTTGCTGTTTGTCACATTTATCTGCAGCTCTCTGAAAGGAGGAAAAGAAAGTTGGAAATGGGCAGTGACATTAACAGTACCTTTGCTTCAGACTACTATATTCATGCTTATATCTTGAAGTAAGGCATTGCTTGGATGCTCTGATCTGTTTAAAGTTTAACTTTTGACAGTTCACTGCATTTTTAAAAAAAAATTGTTTCGCAATCATATACTACTTTTTTTGACCATAGTATTGGTCTCTGAACTATATCGTTTCATAATTCTTCCATTTATCACAGTAGTATATGTTAAGTGGCAATTATTAAATTGCTTTTAAAAAATTATATTTTCTGTTATTTTCGGTAGATGGAACAGTTTGTAGCCCTTAAATTTTAAAAATCTAGTACGTTTCACTATAGAGACACTCTCTCCTTATTCTGTTTTTGTTTTTTGGGTGAGGGGATTAAAAAAAGAATCTTTACTTTTCAGCAGAGTGTAAGCCCTGAAGCCAGACAATATTTTCTTTTTTTCTGTGAAGCTCCGTGTGGGTTTGGCTTGCATACTTCATTCTGACAATCCGCAGAATTTTGATAGCTGGATGTATAATGATCTAATCCTATACTGGACTGTACAGTGTCGAAAAGACCAGGTGTTAGTAATCATGGGAGTAGACATTCTCAGGAAAATTGGGGAAGACTAGGTATCAGTCTTCTGATTTGGTAAGTGATTTTCATAGGTCATTCTCCCGATCACTTTGAGGTAGGAATCTGCAGAATAAAGGGGATTCTCAAACCAGTGACCGTAAGAGGCGAGAAACTCTATTTCTTTGGACCTACCATATTTCCCAACTTGGAGAGAGGGGAATCCCCTTTTTATAGGCTGTGGTCTTAGAGGTTGTAGAGATCTCAGGGAATACAAGTGTGAGCTCCTAGATCTCCTAAGTCTAGAAAGCTGATTTTTGTAGAATCCTGGGAGAGCTGTAGGAAAGCAAAAGGGAAACATGGAACAATCCTCAGAGCTTTTCAGATTCACATCCTTATACTCTTTGGGAAGTTTAAAAGAGGCTGGAGAACTAGCTTCAAGTGATATGTTCAAATGTTGCAAGGAATAACTCAGGAAAACTTTATGTTTGATTAAACCCTTAGAGTAACTTTCCTTGTAGGGGAGACACCAGTTTTCTAATCTAATATGATCTGTAGAATGTGACCCTTTAAAACTTCAGTATTGCTTACCACAGACAGTCCAGCATCTTGTGGATGAAAGATCGTTTTACTGAGAATTTGTTCAAGATTCAAGTAGTCAAAAGCCTCCTTTATTTCCATCTTCAACTTCGTCTTACAGCCATTTTGTCTTAACTGTGTGTTTGATCTGGTATTGGGGATCTTTCCCATGGGTAGTCACATATCATGATCAAGATATTGCTGGACTTTCTTTTCAGGGGATTGAATAGATTGAAGTATTCCATTTGCCTATTGTAAAGTGTGTTTTCATAGTTACAAATCATCCTTTTAATGCTTTGAATATTTCAATTTTTTAAATGAGGCAGTACTAGAGCTGTAAACAATATTTCAGCTTCAGGTTCACCAATAAAGGGAAACAGTATCATACTGCTCAGCTCTTCAGTTTGCATAGCAGGGAATCTTTGATATTCCCTTTTCTGTATTACTGGATTCTCATGCAGTTATTCAGCTACAGTGACTCCAAGATGCTTTCATGTGCAGTTGTTTAATTATAGTGACTCCACAGTGCTTTTCAGAATTAAGTTCTCTTCCCCAAAGCGTCAGCTTCGTCTTTTTGTTTTTAAGCATATGATTTCTTTTGGGTCACTTTGTAAGCCAAGTGCGCAGATAATTTTTCTAGTGACCCACTTTGTTCTCTCATCAATATCTCAACTGAATATTTTCAGTGCTGACTCATCTTTCATGTAATTAAAAATAGATTTCTCTCACATTCTTGTGCAGAGAGAAATCACTATAGGATACCATGGGCTGAAACTCTGTGTTCAAAACTAAATGTTGAGATAGCGTTAGCTGTCTTCAGCCTTTATAATGCATCGTGCTGATTCAGAGTCAAGCCAATTTTTAAATTCGTTGTTGGAGATGTCATTTAACAGTCATCTTAAGGAAGTCCACGGGCATTTTGTTTATCATTCAATTGTGAATACTAGGTAACTTTCTTCAGTCATGTTTATACAGTTTTTCCAAAAATACTAATTTGGTAAGACCTGTTTTTCTTTACCTTGATGCCCTAAATTAACTGTTTATTATCGTATCATGTATTGTTAACTTGTTAACAACAATCACTTATTGATTTTTCTTTTCAGAATACAGCGTGTTACTCTTCTTCCTTCACAGCTTGTTACTGTTACTTGTTACTGTTCTTCATTACGGTTTTCAGACCGCTTTAAGATTTATTTTGTGGCAATAAAGCCCTCCTGAGCAGAAAACCTAGGCCTATTACAAGAGGCTTGCTTTCATAACTGTTTTTTACGATTCCCCTAGAAGTGATCTCTGGACTACTCAGGGATTCCAAGAACATGTTGAAAACTGGCTTCGTATATTCATGAGATTTTCCATGATTATTTAAAACTCTGAAGAGCTTGAAGAGCTGTTTGAATTTGTGGATTGTCTTTTTCTGCTGCTTTTCAATTCAGTCAGATTTTCAGCTGTTACCAAGTGGTCAAAGAACATAAAGTTATTTAACGACTTATCCAAGGATTCTGCCAGCATGTGAAGAAGTTCTCTGATGATGGAAGGCTGACTTTGCCATCTTTCAGTTACTCCATCTGTTCCCTTGGCTTTAGGAAACTGAAGTACTGCAGGCTATTCAGTAGTCTGTTGATGGAACAATTCTTAGAGATAAATTGCTATGGCATCCACACCTGGAAGAAGCATTTAGTTTGATCAGTTATGTTTTGGCCCTCAGTGAGACCAATGATTAAGGAAACCTGACTTCTAAACTTTCCAAATAGGATTGTTTGAAAGCGTGTCAAATACTGCAATTCCTTTATGTGCTTTATTTATGAAATATATCCGATTCAGATTATTCACTTACCCTTTGATTGTGCTGTATGTAACATTTAAGGAAAAAAAAAAAAGAGATAACCATCCTGTAGCAAACACCTGCAACTTGTGCTGGTGTATTCAAGGCCTGAAGTTAGATACCAGTGTAATTAAATTTAAAAGCAACTTTTTTTCATAGGTACTAGTGAATTTGGAAAGGCCAAGTTAGTAATTTTGATACTGTACTTGGTATTTTATAAACTAAGGCAGTTCAATCCTACCATAACTAATTTACTCTCTGTGTGAAGGGAAACATGTTGAACTATACATGCAATGAAGATTCAGAATTGTGGAAAATATAATTGAATTGTTCAAAACTGTAGCAGTATCGAAGTCCACAGAATTCGTTTAGAATATATGGGAAGATTGTTCAGAACATACAGTGTGTTTTTCTAGCTAAATCAGTATTTCTGCTGTAGCTTTTTCATTGCTGTAAAATAGGTAAATATACAGATACCTGTTGATAGGACTACATAAATATAATTCTTGGGGTTTTTTTTAATCTTTATCTGAAACTACTTCAGCTTCTCTTTTAATTTTGTATAAAGATACACTAAACTGGAATTCCCATTCTGTGGAAGACAACTGTATGTACACTGTCAAATAATTTATCTCTACAGTTCACTCCGAGTCCTCATCCTGTGGTAGACCAAGTTGCAAGTGTACCCACATACACATATTTAAATATAATTTGCGTGGTCCTGTACTCCTATCTGGAGTAAGACAACTAATTGTCTCTGAAAGGAGACAAGGGGGCTAACATGATAGTTTGTTTCAAGGTCCACTCCAGACAGAGAGTGCTGGTTGTGTATCCATCCCTCTGCTTCAGTAGTCTCCCAACACTACCATAAACAAACCTTGTGTATTCAGGTATTTCTGCAGACCCTTACATTATGCCCCTGGATATGCAACTCTATCCTATAGAAGTTCTAATCTCCTAGTCGGTATTATAGACATCATGTTATTTCAGACCCTTTGAACTAAAGAAACCACACACAAAATAGTGATGCCAGGGTTACCTGGACAACCGCTATGTGGTGTAGAAACATACAGTCTGCTCCTGGATGGCCTTGTACAACTTGGATGGATGAAGGTACTGTGCTTCTGTAATTAAAGCTTTCATTTAAAAGTATTGTAGTGCTGTAGAAATAATGGAGGCTATAAATACTATCAATGATGGAATTTTTTTCACTGAGCTTGTGCACACTTCAAAATAATAACTTTAGAAACATGAGTTTCTGTTCTTGACCAACAGAGTTTTCAACTTTGGAAGCTGGAAATACAGTAAAAAGGCTGTCACTCAGACAGTCT